CAATCTCCGATTGTAAAAGTTGGTAAAAATCTTCTATATCCTCTTCCTTGGCTCTGGTTGTTGGTACATATATTTGAATGATAGTGGTATTCACTGGACTTCCTTGTATTTTTTTCATTTCTCTAAAACCAGACAACCTTGTATTATTATGTGTATTAGTATTATACATTAGAAGTCGGAGTGAAAAAGCTGTTAAACAACTTTTTCCTTCTTTAAGGTTATGAATTTTATATAATACACCTTCTGTAGGCTGATTAGTGCATTTTATTTTTACCAAAAATAATTAAAATGTTTATTATTAGGGTTGTATTACCATGATTCAGAAAACAATAGTCTCTTTTAAGAAGCACGGTACATGCTTTTTATAATTTAAAATTTCATAAGAGTAAGACTGATCGAGATGAAATGCCTCCTAAATCCTTCACTCCTACCTTGACTACTATCTCTAGAGCTCTGTCGTCTCGATTATTACCAACAAGATTTCCAGTTGATTAGTATACTTGAATGGTTGTGTACTTCTGAAACCCACAAATTCTGAAGTCCTTTACTTTAATACCTTTAAGGATTCTGAAGCTCAGTCTGGCTTACCTTGGGCATGTTAGAAGGAGGGACCAGTCCTTGGAGATTGTCCTTGGACATTATGTTTGGGTGGGTGGAGGGACAGTGCAAGAGAAGATGAGATGAATTGACTCAGTGACTGGCGTAATGCGGTTAGGTGTGTCAGAAACAATAAAGTTGGCCCAGGATAGAGCAGGGCACATAACAAGAACAAATCCTATATAAAGTTTTCTCAACCTTTCTGTCTTGAGTGTTACTTTCCAGGAATGTTATTTCTCCCTTTCCTTTGACCTGTCAAAATGCTGACCTCTTTCCTATCTAAATACTTACAGTATTGAAATACTGTAGAATTTTTACTTTTGTGGCATGCATAAATAGTATGTCTTTTGTCATTGTTTTGGTATTTATTTTAAATCTGTCTTTAAAAATAGAGTATGGCAGTCTTTATATTCTATTTGGAGTTGCTGTTATCTCATATACTTATTGATTGACTTGGGTTTAAATCTAAGGCTTCCTGTGTAAGAGGTGATCTTTTGCTTTGGTTCATTATAATACTTTTTCTTCTTCAGTTTTGCATAGCTTGTCTTGGTGCACCAGTTTCTTTTCTTTCTTCCAATTTGGCTTGAGGGTTTTTGAGCTGCTTAAATCTGTATGCCTTTTATTGATACGTAGAAAAATTTTTAACTATTTTCTGCTATATTCTCTTGAACTTCTGTTAAATAAGCAATAAGACTTAAGGTGTGTTTAATTCAAGCCATTGTATTACCAATCACTTGCTATGCATCTGAGAGCTGGTAATAAAGAGGGATGACAGGTGATTGATTGTGGTTTTGGAGAATAGTGCTGAATATATCCCATGGACTGCCAGGAGAGCAAACAGATGTGCCTTTGAGCAATGCAACTAGAAGTGCTCCTTGGGGCAAGAATCACGAAGCGTTGTCTCATGTGCATTGGGCATGTGGCTGGAATAGGTTGTTTCTTGAAAAGGTACATCATGCTTGATAAGGTCAGTGAAAAAGAGGAAGACCCTCAACCAGCTAGATTAATACATTCACTGTGGCAGTGGGCTCACGTATGTCAGTGATGATAAGGATGGTGCAGGATAGGACAGGGTTCAGATCTGTCACTCACAGGGTTGTCATTAGTCATACTTGACTTGATGGCAGGTAATAACAACAACATGAACAGCACAGTGACCAAAGATTTGAGACATGTATTATTTGCCCATAGATACTATGTGAGGGTACAGTTGATTTCCTAAAAGGAAAAGGTGGAAAGGTGAAATATCTTAGGAGATTTTTTCCTTTGGAGAAAACATACTTTTATCATAGTCGTATTACAAACAGGATGTACTGTTTGCTTTTTCAACCCATGGCCAGTCAGCCCTGTGGTAGACAATGAAAAGGAATGACTGATGGTAAATAACTTGTTAATTTGCATTCGTTGTGTGATTGATACCAGCACTGATAATCAAAAGCCTTACAAAGTAGATATATAATTCATTGGGCTTTTCTCAAAGATGATTTCATTTTTAAGGCTTAAAAGTGGTTTTCTTTTCCTTTCCATTCAGAGTTTCAGGAAAATCCAACTTTATTACATTAACAAATATGTGTTGTAAGACATCATATTTTTCCCCCTTCCTGTGTTTATGTATATTTATTGAAACAGCTCAATAATTCAAATGACAAAACTTAACACACTCATAGGTTAGTATGATGTTTTGTGAGAGTCACCTTGGTGGTTTCAGTTTGTCATTGCTGTAAATGCATGACTGTTGAGATAC